CGCATATGTCGGGATGACATCGATCCGCTGCAAGTAGCGCAGGGCTGCCTCCGGGTGCTTGAAGAGCAGCTCCCATAGGCGAACTTCGATCGCGGCTGACCTGTCGAATCCAACTGCGTCCCACATAGCTGCCCGTGCTGCTCCCGACTCCGCGTGCCGACACGAGATGAAAATGTGTGGAAGGAAGTTATGGACCCGGTGTCCACAGAGGGGGCAGGGTCGGAAGTACTGCTCCTGCTCTGAGGCCGGGAGGCTCCTATACCCCGTAAAGTACCGGGTGATAAAGAGACCGTGGTGCATCGTTCGGAACTGGCGGATTTCCTTCTCTGCCCTCACGGTCAGTTTGTCCGGCACTGGGATCTTGCGTCCCCCAACGATCTTCACGAACGGCATGCCTACAGCAAGGCGGCGAGCCCTCACTATCGCACCTTTAGCTCCCCTCTCGCCGTCCTCCCTGAGCAAAAACAGCTTGAAGCGGTTTGTCGCTTCGACGTACGAGAGCGGCGGCGGGCGGGAAACTCCGGCAGCGAGGGTCAGGTCGGGGGACTGCGTCAGTTGGCGGGCTAGCAGAGCAGCCTTCTTCGCCAGCTTGTCAGCGCGGTCATTCCCGGGGAGCTTGCAGTGACCGAACACGAACTGCAGGATCAGAATATACCCCCTCCTGGCGATGTTGCAAAGTTTCAGCCAGATCAGCTGGTTCATGAACCGCTTCTGTCGGTGGGGGCCGGGGGCGAGGTCTTTCAGAAGCGACTGCGAGTCGCTGAGCACCCACGCCACCTTAGGTTCATCGAATGCCATCTGCGCGGTTGCTTCCCGAGAGGTCTCTTCATCCAGGATTTCAACCGCATTGAGGAAAGCGACCTGCTCCGTGCGGAAACTGTTCGAGTGGGCCCCGACCGGGCAAGTCCAAGCGATGGCGTTACCGTCCACCGGTCGCCTCCAGTCCGGGCCACGGTCGCCGAATGGTTTCTGCACATAGACCCCGCCGCCTCCCCACACGGTGAGGTCTGTAGTGTTGATGGCCCACGGCTTCAGCTCGGCTGGTCCCGTGTACAGTGGCAGCCGAGCCCCCGTCCGGGCGGAGCCGTCCGCCCATGCTATCCGGTGGGGCTTGGGGAGTGAATCCAGCCTGGTTGCCACCGTTCTTCTGTTGACGGCCGGGTCTTTCGACCGCTTTTTGTCGAGCGTGCTGTGTACCGTCACCTTGGGGACACTTTCCCAGGGTTTAAACGGGCGGTACATCGGGATCTCACGGCTCCTTTTGTTGAGGCGCGCGCGCGCGTTCAGTTCCGCGAACTTCAAGAGCAGCAGACTGCGCGTGTCCAGCACCTCGGACCAGACAGATCGCCGCATCGACATCTTTTCGCACAAGGTGCCAAGCCTGTACTCGATGTACCCATGGATCGAGAGCACGCGGGCCTCTCTCTGCGCAATGAAGGCCGACACCCCTTTCTTGCAGCCCAGTACGTACGACAGGGCTACTCTGTGTCGGCTCTCGAGTAAAGCCAGAAGGAGAGGATTGGGACAACCATGGCTGGGGAGTAGGAAAGGACCGTAAGCAGCAAGGCAGTGCGTTACGACCGGGAGGACGTACGTCAGGTACACCTTGCGGTTCGTGCAGACGCTGAGGCCCCAGGACTTCATGCACGTTCTCCGCAGGATGATCATTCTCTCCGACAGCCTTTCCAAGACGTTTTCCACGTGCGGGCGGAAGGAGAGGTTGTTGTCGATGATCAGGCCTAGGAAGCGGTGCTGTGTGACCCACCGCAGGGAGGTAACCACCTTGACCTTGGAAGTTGCACATCTTGGACGGAGATCGTTTTGCGACCTGACCGCGATTCCGTTGCGGGCGGCGACGTGTTTGCCGTGATGTGCCTTCAAGTCGCCATTCGAAACGAAGCTGCAGTTCTTGAATCCCCAGCTTGTGTCTTGGGGGTCGAGACAGAGTTCAGCGGTGGTGGAATCGAACACGAGGTGAGGAGCAGCAGAGGAGTCGCGCCTCTTCCAGTTGAAGAAGACTCCTTTTGTTTTCTCATGTGAGATTTGCATCTTCGCGCGAGTCGACCATTCCTCAACCAGGGTGATCACATCCTGTGCCCACTTCGCCAGGCCGTCCAGTTCGTCCGCAGAGATCGCGAAGCCGGTGTCGTCAGCATACAGTGAGGGAGTGATCTTGGCACGTTGAGCTTCAGGGCTGAAGTTAGCAGCGTTGTCTTTGACCTCGAGGATGTCTCTCCCTAAGTCGTCGATGCAGAGGAGGAATAGAACAGGCCCCAGGACCGTTCCCTGGGGGACACCTCTCTGCAGCTTCGAGGACTGGCCAAGTACCCCGTCCACCTTGAAGCGCGCCCTGCGGTCCTCGAGGAAAGCACGTAGCCAGAGCACGAAACGTTGTGGGACTCCCCTCTTCTCGAGGATTCGGAGCAGGCGGTCGTGATCAACGGTGTCGAATGCACTCATGAGGTCAAACGAGAGGAAGCACGCAAATTGGTTCAATCGGCGCGCCTCGTCCAGGGCGGCGACAATCGAGAAAGCTTGCTCCTCAGTTCCTCTATCCTCTCGGAAGCCGCCTTGGAAGACCGAGTACGGCATCACCGTCGGGAAATCAGGGCTCTCGGTGATGAAGACGAGTCTGTTTTTTACGATGATTTCCATGAGCTTTGCCGACACGCTGGTTAGCGCAATCGGTCGGTAGCTCAGCGGTGACGAACGATCTTTACCAGGCTTGTGGATGGGCACCATGTGAGCGTCCCTCCATTGGCGTGGGATCTCACCCATCCTCCAAGATTCGTTGAAGAGCTGCAGCATGGAGTTGCGGGCCTCAGGTCCGAGGTTCTTCAGAGCCATTGAACACAGCCCCTGCGGATCGAGGCTCTCCTTCTTTTTCAGATCATCGATTGCCCGGTCCAGTTCGTCTGGGGTGATCTCTCCAGTGGCGCCGCGGATTCCGTCGTCCGGTTCGAGTTCGGGGCCGTAGGTTGGTTCGAAAGGGGTAGCTGCACCGCTCACCACAGCTTTGCACGTGTTAGCGAGACATCTGCCCAACAAATCCGCTTTCCCTTTGCCGGAAGTGTACTGGCTGCGACCGTCAGACAGTGGGGGAAGCAGGTTCCTCTGGAATCGGCCATCAATCGAACGGATGATCCGGTACAGGAAGCTGAGGTCGGTGCCGGAGTTGATTCCAGCCACCACCTTGTCCCAGTACCGTCCTTTGGCTGCATGAGCAGAAACCGAAAACGCCTCCTTAGCGCGACCGTACTCCTCGAGTTTGTCGGCGTCAAAAGGGTCCCCTTCTGATGCTTCTAACGCCGATCTCTTCAGCCGCTCCAGTTGTGTGAGCTCGGGTGACCACCATGGTCTGTGCGGGCCCTTTCCGGACGCCCTGGGCACATGTTCGCGGATGGCTGAACGGATCGCGGCGGAAATCCCGTCTGATCGTGCTTGGATCGAGGGGATGTGACCCTTCGGGCAGCATTGTTCGACATCCTCCAGGAACGCCTTCCAGTCGGCTTTAGCCCACACGTAGTGAGGGGGCCTTTTCAGCACTTTCTGACGATGTCCCCTGGCAACTCGGAACACCATGACCTTGTGATCGGACTTACCCCAGGGCGGCAGCGTCGTCCAGTCGAGAATCAGCTGCTCAGGAGGGCGAGCGGTGATTACAACATCGGTGGATGATGGCCTGGCGGATGTGGGCTCCCTTGTGGGCTTCGACGGGTCGTTGTGCACGGTCGCGGGGTATTCCTGCAGCCAGTCGAACAGCGTAGAGCCTCCAGAGTTAGGTGCCCCACGCGACCACTGCGGATGGTGGAAGTTCAAGTCCCCGGCAATGATAGTCGTGTCGTCGAGCTCGAGCGATTCAAGGTTTTCGAAATGAATGAATGAATGAAAAACAAGCACCGTCCTTCCGCTGCTCAGAAGAGCCGCGTCTGGAACAGGTCAGGCGTTACTAGCCTATTTGCGCCAAGAGACACGCGCACGAGTGACAGGTCCACAGGTTAGGGGTTAGGAGGGAGTGGGGGGGGGGGGCGGTTGATAAAATTGTGACGAAAAAGAGTTTCGTTGGCTTGGCTTGCCTCGAGGACCGTCGTGGGTGCTTTGGCCCGACGGAGTCTGGGCTGTTGGACGGCTTTGTCCGCTCGGGTGCTGCCTGCGCTAGGTCGCTTGCTCCGTGGTTTCGAGCGGCACTGCGGTTTGCTCGTCGTTCTTGGCGAAAAACGGAAAAAGGCTCAGCTCGCGCTATTATCTAGTATCAAAACAGTACAGTAAGTAAAAGTGGGTTGGCTCGAATAGAGGCTATCACATTGCATGTTCATAGGACCTCCAGTCTCGAAACATGTACAAATGGGTAACTCTTCCAACCACGACTTTTTTTGAAAAGTCATGTTGATCCGCAAGCGGAGAAGAAATCTTAAAACGAGGTTTGTGGCATTCCGAACCCGGGTCTCCAAAGGGTTTGAGCATGACATTGATGATGTCGCTGATGCCTGGGCTCGTGCCAAAGTCTGGAGCTGGCTGTGTGCGGGGATCATGAGCACAAACATGGAAATGGGCCGGCAATCGCAGTGTGGCGTGGCTCCGGAGCTGCTGACCGCTCCGGGTTGAGCGTTCGGAGCCAGCCGGAGACACTGCCATTCGTGACCGTCGTGGAAATTTCCACGATTTTTCCATTTCCACGATTTCCATTTCCACGTGGATCCACGTCCCGAACCCTGGGTAAAGGGTGGCACTAATAGTGCTTGAATGGGCAAAAAGTTTGGAAATAGTGCTGGAATGGGCAAAAAGTTTGGAAATAGTGCTGGAATGGGGAAAGGGCAAAAAGTTTGGGCAGAGTGCTGGAATGGGCAAATAGTTTGGGCAGAGTGCTGGAATGGGCAAAAAGTTTGGAAATGGTGCTGGAATGGTAATTGGCCCCCAGAGGTTACCACACCCACACAGGGGTTTGGGGGTCGGTGTTGTTTGAGTCTCAAATTGAGGGAGAAAGGCCCACGCATAAAAAGTGCGCTCGCCGGGAGTCGAACCCGGGCCGCTCGCTTGGAAGGCGAGAATACTGACCGTTATACCACGAGCGCGCATACGGCTTTTTTTTTTTTTTGAGTAAGCAACTACGGAAGACATGCAGGGGGCGAGAACTGCATTTACTTGTACGGGCAAGTCGTTCTTTTGTTCCTTTTGTCAAACTAGGAAAGAAGAAGGACGGATTTTTTTTTTTTTTTGGAGCGCGGGACACTGTACTCGACATGTTAGTACAGCGGGGCTGCCGGTATCCGGTTGCTTCCGGAGCGGGAGCCCAAAAAAATGCTTCTTCAGCACACAGTGAACGCCAGTCTCACTGCGACCTGGGCTGGCCGTGTTTTTTTTTTTTTTGTTGACGCCGCTCGGCGGGAACGGCTTTACTGGGCCGTGTTACTGTCAAGTAACATGCCACGTAGGTTAGACACAGAGTGCCGCACAAGGCACAGGCTAGGTTGAGGTGGGCTAGGTTGCTTGTGGTAGGCTAGGGGGGTGCTTTACCGCGTCTATTGTTTCAGTTTAGCGCAATTTTTTCTTTCCCAGGGTTGCAGTGGGTCGTTCCCGAACTCTCTGGGGTTGTCATTGTTTCATTTCTCATATGCTGTTGTTTCGGGTGTTTTTCCTTCAAGTTGCACGGCCGCAAAGGCTCGTGCTAGGTTGGTGCTTCTTATCTGATTGTATTCAGGACGAAGGGGGGGGCGGTGGCAGGAGTCGCTAACAACTAATTGCACACATCAGTTGACGGTCAAATGCGTTAGTTATTGGTGCACAGGTCATGGAGTACTTAGGGTTTAACAGCAGAAGGCGCAGTGTTGACAGAGCTTTGGTAGTTTGTGCAACAGTTGGTGGTAAATTCGTAGCTGGTGCCACGGTTGGAGGCGCAGTTGATGAAGCAACAGTTTACGGTACACTTGCTGCCTTATGCATAATAAAAACACTGCATTGGTAGCTGGCGCGACAGACGTTTGAACACTATTAGCAGGCGTCACAGCAGGGGGCGCAACAGTTGGCGCAACAGTTGATGGAACACTTGAGCACCATCGTCGGAGGCACAGCTGCTGACGGTGCAGTGGTGGCTGGTGCAACTGTCGATGGAGTAGTTGTAGCAGATCCACGGCTTGAGGCACAGCAGTAGATGTCACTCTTACCATGGGTCACTCGGTCGGTCACTGTCCGTCAGGCGTGCACAGGCGGGCGTTACTGTGTGCAGACAAGCCGCATCTACCGCAAGAGCGCATCGTCCCGGCTCCAGTTTCCAGCTACCGGCCGCGGCGCCGACGATGTCCTGCTTCAGGCTGATGAGACGGCCAGCCTACGGTCAGGCCCAGTCACTCGCGCTATCATCAGAGGGGAGCGCATCGGCAAAACTCAGCCCGCCTGCCGCCACTGACTCAAGGTCGGGCGTGTCCGGTCTGTCACCAGGCAACGTTTCGTCGACGTGCCCAGATACAACCTCGCTCGCCTCCGAGTCAACAGGTTCTCTGCTGAAGCCCTCTGGCTGGCTACTCGCTGCGACACTCACGAGTGCACTTATCTGCGAGGTGACTGTCTGAGAGCTCCAGACTGACCTACCGTCGCATATGCAGTCGCTTGTGGGCAGCGATTCCCCGTGGCCGGACTTTACCACGGCGAAACGGGGTATCAGCCCCGTGTCCTGCAAGTACTCAAGCGCCATTTCAGGGTGCTTGAACAGGACGTGCCACAGCTTGTCGGCGTTTGTTGCGCCCGACGGGAGGCGTGCCGCCGGATCGGGCCCTTTTCCTCTGGCCGCTTTAGCCCACAAACTCATGCGGTGAGCTTGGCTCGAGGCTTCGACACATCCGATGAACATATGCTCCAGGACGTTCGGGTGGTAGCTTTTGCAGAACGCGCAGCTCCGATAAGCCCGCCTCCTCTCAAGCATATCCAGGTCCGCATAATCTGCAGCGTACATCGTCATTACGAGCGGGTGGTGTCCGGTCCGGATCTGCCGGATCTCCCGCTCCGCCCGCACCGTAAGGTGGCAAGGGCGCTTGACGCTTCGCCCGTCTACAATTCTGGCGTATGGCATTGAGACGCGGTGTCGCTCAGCCCTGATGAACGCCGCGCGTGCCATCGGCTCGGTTGAGGCGAGGGTCGTATACGCTTTATACCGTGTGACTGCATCTTCTGCCGCTAACGGGGGCTCCCCGGGTGCGTTGCCTCTCGTCACCTCTCTGAAATGGTGGAAGGCCGCACGTTTCGCGAGGCTGTCAGTTACCTCGTTGCCGCGTAGGCCACAGTGCCCGTACACGAACTGCAGCGTTGTTGTGTAGCCCTTCTGGGAGATTGCGCTGAGCGCAGACCAGATGTACACGAGCAGCGGTTGCTTCTGCACTTGCGGGCCACCAGCCAGTAGACGAAGGAGCGACTGCGAGTCAGACAGGATGAGGATCCGCCGGGATTCGGGTGTGGGTGCGAGGATTTCCAATAGCGCCCTCATGGCTGCGGCCAGCGCTAGCGTCTCGGCTTTGAGGCTGGAAGGGAAACGGCCAGCTGTGTGGGCGAGGTGTGTCGACCGAAGGTTGCCAAGTTGACGGATCGAGTAGTCATGGCCGTTGGCGATGGTGATCGTTGGTGCACACTCTATCAGGGCGGCAGCCCCACCCCAGGTTCTGGTGTCTGCGTACTGCGTGGTCCATGGTTGCATGATGCGTTCAATGCGAGATCCAGGAGGTGGCGCCGGTGGTTGTTCTCTTAGTACGGACCCATCAGTCCACACTGTGCAGTCGGGCACGGGAAGCTTGAGGAGGTATTGTTCGACGATCCGTTTCTTCTCAGCCGGACTACGCTTTTTCCCCTCAGGCAGGAAGGGATTGATATCGACTGCCGGTCGAGGGAGCCAAGGTGCGAACGGGTTGAACGTGAGGCGTTCCCTCGGCTGCTTGTGGGTTCCGGACTTCACCGTCAGCTCTGCGTACCGACGATTCAGCGTCGACGGCCATCCGAAGGTGTCTGGCCACAGGTGCTTGCGGGGCATCATTCTCTCGCACAGGCTGCCGAGGCGCACGTCAATGTATGTTGCAATTGGGGGGATTCCGGCCTCGCGTGTTGCCACAAAATCAGATATGCCTTTACGGCAGCCAAGGACGTGAGCGATCGTGTTTGTATGAAGGCGTTCGAGGATGCCAATATATTTACTCGCCGAGAGTAACAGAAAGGGCCCGTAGACTGACAAGCAGTAAGTGACCGAGGGGATCACATACGTCAGATACATGCTACGCAGTGTAGCAGTGCTGCACCCCCACGCTTTTCCAGACAGGTGGCGTAGTAGGTTAGCTCTCTGCGACATGCGCTTGACGGCACGTTCAGCATGCGGGTGGAACGTGAGCTCATCGTCAATTATTAGGCCAAGAAATTTTGTCTGCTTGACCCAGCGCACGTTCACCGTCAGCTCGAGGATGACCCTTCGGTCGCGCGACTCTCTGTGGACGTCCAGTATGTCCTGGTTGGAGAATCCACTGCGGCCGTCGACCGTTTCAATGTGCTTCCCGTCGTGTTCAGCATATTCGGGTTCGTTGGCCACGAAGTTGTGGTTCCAGCGCGTTATCCACGCAGGCAGCTGCGCACCGGGAACACTGATGGTCTGCCTCGTACCCATAAAGCGCAATGGCGGCGGGACTGTCCTTTTGTCCCGCGGGCATAGGAAGATGGCTTCGGTTTTGTGATGAGCCAGTCGCATTTTAGCTTTCGTCACCCATTCTTCAACCGCATCAACCACTTTCTGCGCCTTAGTCCCCAGTTCTGCTACCGAGGCCGCTGAGACGACCACCCCCACGTCATCAGCAAAAAGTGAAGGGGTTATGGTGTTGGGACCGGCAGTCGTGCTCCCGAGAGAGCAGCGGAGATCTTCAAGCTTCAGGCCCAACCCGTCAATACAGAACAGGAATAATAATGGGCCGAGGACTGTGCCCTGGGGGACGCCACGCCCCAAGGAAACCTTCTTCCCAATCGTGCCGTCGATTTTGTATGCGGCTGTTCGTCCCTGCAGAAAAGCGTGCAACCATTGCAAGTAACGTGGTGGTACTCCACGCTTTTCCATCGCATTGAGCAGGAAGTCGTGGTCTACCGTGTCGAATGCGTTTGCAAGGTCAAACGACAGTAGGCACGAGAAATCTCCTCTACTGCGAGCCTGGTCCATGGCTGTGACTATGCTCATGGCCTGCTCTTCCGTGCCGCGTCCTTTTCGGAATCCGCCCTGTGAGTCACAAAAGGGTCGGACGGATTTGTCCATCGGGTTATCGGTGGTAAAGATTAAACGGTTCTTTACCATGACCTCCAACAGCTTCGCGATCACACTCGTCAGTGAGATCGGCCTGTACCCCTCAGGTGTACTGTGGTCCCTGTTAGGCTTGGGGACAGGTATGACGTGGGCCTGCCTCCAGCTTGGGGGGACCACTGCTGTCGTCCACGAGATGTTGTACACCTCAAGGAGGAGCCTTTTGGTGTCGTCACCTACGTGTGCCAATACCGTCGAGCATAGGCCGTCGGGATCCAGTGACGTTGTTTTGCGGAGCTCGGTGATTGCCCGGTTGAGCTCCAACTCTGTGAACAGTGTCTCCGCCACTTCGATCTCGCCACTGAGCTGTAAGCTAGGTTTCCACTGCTTGGACAGCTGGGGACTATTCAAATCAAGTCGGCATATATCCGACAGGTGCTCCCCAAAGATGTCAGCCTTTTCCTTGGCATCCACCACTCGCGTGTTACCGACCTTGATTGGTGGGACGGAGTACCTTTGTGACCTGCCGTCAATCCTCCGTATTTGCCGGTAAAGAAGGCCGATATCCGAGAACAGATTAATCTTGGATACTATCGTGTCCCAATACCCAGCTTTCGCCCTCGTTGCCGCGGAGGTGAAGGACTCCTTTAACTTCTCGTAGGCGCTTGTCTTTTCCTCGTTCTGAGGGTCGGCCGTAGCTTCCGCATGCGCCGTCGCCTTCTCCTTCTCCAAGCGGCTGAGTTCAGGCGTCCACCAAGCTTTGTGCACCCGACCGGATGAGGATGCAGGCACGAATTTACGCAGACCAGCTTGGAGAATGGT